TCAGCGTGCTCTTGACATAAGAGTTAAACTCTTCGGGGAAGAACACCCAGACACAGCCGAAAGTTACTTTTCTATCGGAGTAACACAACATGCTTTAGGAAAGTTCTCGTCAGCACTTCAGTCCCATCAGCGTGCTCTTGACATAAGAGTTAAACTCTTCGGGGAAGAACATCTAGACACAGCCGAAAGTTACTTTAATCTTGGAGTAGCACAGCATACTTTAGGCAATTTCTCGTCAGCACTTCGGTCCAAACAGCGTGCTCTTGACATAAGAGTTAAACTCGTCGGGGAAGAACACCCAGACACAGCCGAAAGTTACTTTTTTTTCGGAGTAACACAACATGCTTTAGGAAATTTCTCGTCAGCACTTCAGTCCCATCAGCGTGCTCTTGATATAAGAGTTAAACTCTTCAGGGAAGAACACCTAGACACAGCCAAAAGTTACTTTTATCTCAGAGTAACACAACATACTTTAGGCAATTTCTCGTCAGCACTTCAGTCCAAACAGCTTGCTCTTGAGACAGAGTTAAACTCTTCGGGGAAGAACACTGAGACACATAATGGGTAGCTGTGTTCGTTTCTGTTTACATAACATGTTATTTCTTATTTCTTTGGTTAATGCTCCAGAGTTTCGTTGCTGTAGAGTAATTTCCTTGGCAAACCAAAAGCTAACTTTTGACGAAATAATCAGCTGTATCACGAGGCACGATGATTTTTCGCCTAAAAGTGATCGGGCAGTTTCACTGTAAACTGCTCCTTTCCTCAGAGATTGTAAAGGCAGAGGCCGTCGTCGTCGAACCGGTCAAACGAAAAACGAGTGAGTTTATAGTAATCTGATTCAAGTTAATCTCAAATAGGGATTTTAATACAGAAAAACCTTCTTTAGTTTAAGTGTGGCATTGCCATGCGACCCATTTCGCACAACACTTGGATTCGCTACCATGCATCTAATTAAAAAATATTTGCGTTTCTTTAATTATCTCGTTGCAGTGCTTTTATCACAATGATATTGCTACTGTTGCTACTTTTAGTTTCTTGAGGGCAGGGGGGAATTGATGGCTCATGGAATGGATTTTCGGAAACCTAAGTTAGGAGAATACACGGACCCTTCGAGCTTGTGTTTATGCCAGTATCCGCCAGAGGTTCATGCCACAGGATATCGGTCAGCTCAGGAAACGGCTTGAACTTTATCACAAATGATGCACTTCTGTTATTGAAATGTTGAAAGCACTGTTTGTGACGAGTATCATAATTCCAGTATGCAAGGTTGTAAGTCTTTCTTCATTGTTGCAAGAAGTATTAGTACTATATTGTATTGCCTAATTCTAGTATGGCAACAGAATAACATGGAAAGAGGGGAAAATTCTCTCACTTACGATAGCCACAGATTGTCCAAACAAATTGCTCCCGCGTTTGGCTCGTTACACAGTGTCGTCTCTACCATGACACATATTACACGACGAGCCTAAACACTTGCTGCAGGGAACATCCAAGAATGTGTCTTTGTTTCGACTTTGCGAGGCCAGTGCGCTTGTCAAGCACAAGATACGCGCGCGAAGAATAGCAACCCCCGGCTCTTGCTCGTGAGTGCCAGTGTCATTCACTCGCGTGGCTGGTTCCCAGGGTTCTGTCCTCCCCGTAGAGAGAGAAACTTGGTAACGAGGTTGTCACTCGCGCCCAATCCAGCGTGCATCCTACGCCAATCCTACGTGCATTTGTCATCATTCTTAAAGGCGGGTATGATTATTCTTGTCTTTTTCTACACGAATATTAGCCTTCTTAGCCTAGCTTTTGAATGAAAATGCGATCGATTTTAAGTATCTTATCGAGGCCAGAAAGTGTAATTCACACGGATATTAAAGAATAGCAATTGGGGGATCAATATTAGTATCTGGGTAACTGCCCACCTACCCCTCTCCTAACTCAACAACAGTCAATTGATAACAAGTTAGAGTTAATGTTGGGTTAGGGGAGGGTTAGGTGGGCAGTTGCCCAGATACTGATACTGATCCCAATTGGGCCCGGCTGTTACAGCGAAAGCAAGACGTCATCTTCTGGACATGGACTTTCAACACTGCTTTTATTACAAGATAACAGGGTAAAACTAAAAAACAAAACAAATACGATATGAGTCTAGTAGGATAAACCAACAGCTGTGGCTTGACTCGACTCCCGGACCTGATATCACATGTGGGTTGAGTTTGTGGTTGTTCTCGTCCTTGTTCCTGGGGTTTTTCTCCAGGTCCTCCGATTTTCCTTCCTCCACATAAACCAAAATTCCAAGTTCTAATTCGACCTGGAAACAGTGGTCAAGATGAGTCACCTCCTGGAATGTCCACTGCTGAATTCCATTCTTCATCTTCTTCTTACTATTATTATTATTATTATTGTTATTATTATCATTATTTTTTAAAAAAAACTACGGTTAACTATAGCTTTATTGCGCGACTTCTGGAGAATCCGACTGAGGAAGTGACTATGTTTAAATTCAAGAGGACTGCATAATAACGTGCGGGACGAAAGCGTGTGAAAGTGAAGGTGTAACTGACGAAAAACGATGACGAACTGAACAGAAAACATTAACAAGAAGGTATAAGAAAAGAAAGGAAAAGAAAAATAAATAGTTCAAAAACTAATTAAAAGACGTTCAGATCTTGCGCTGGTAGTCATGTGAGAGGTCTCTGATTAACGAGATTTGTGTTTATTAACATTTCTTAGACGATGGTGTTGTTTTTGGAAAGCCTATTTGGAAGTACTAGAAGACTTTTCTGGAACCTTGATCACTTCCAACGATAATTTCACGAGGGGCGAAAATTGCATTGGGAGCATCGTTCTGTTTCGCTTCTGCTATCATTTTCCTGGTTCATGAAATGCAAACTGCTGATCGTAAGAGGCTCAGAGAAGGTGTAATCAGAGATTTAGAACGACAAGAGAAAAAGAGGAGAAACCTTGAAGAGTTAGAACAACAGATCGAACTAACAAAGAAGTTAAAAGAGCAGAGAGACAAGTGATCTGTAATTTCCTCATGAAAAGAACTTTACAGAACTTTGTGGGGACCATAACTCAATTGTCTTATGGATTAAATAAATATACTGTGCAGTTTTGGTAATTCAAAAGTGAAGCTAAGATATAAGATCTATATGGGACAGAAAATTATTTAAAGTAAGCTTGCAAGATCTTGTTTCAGTCACCTGCTATGGTCACGTTACCAAACGTTTTAGAGTAAAAATTATTATTCGTGTGATTTGCTGAGGTCTTTTGTATATATCGTCATCACTAACTGATTAGTCGCCTGGCACAAGTTACTGGTTCTTTTGTTTTGATCTAAGAACAGTGATTTGCTTTCTCGAAGACTGCGTGTAAAACAGATGGATTTTTTTTTCTTGCGTTTTTCAGGTGAGTAAGAGCCAGACACGCGCGTGATGTGGAGCGTAAAAAAAAATCGTTCCTACTCGATCGCGTTTTTGTTCCATAGCGCTCACCTAACACTTACTTCTGCTTACTTTAAAGATGCCAAAACAAAAAAAGACTGGAAAACTTAAAAAAACACGCCTACTTTTGATATGAGATTGAAGATAATTGTTATTTCTGTCCAAGATAAAGTCAGGGAATTTTGAAAAGCATTGTTCAGATGGCCATGTCTATTTCAAAACGGAAATTGAATAATACTAAGTGTATTATCCAGATTAAAAGGGAAATTTCCCTTACTAAGGTGTGTTTGACACGTTAAACATCACGCCACATTTCTCGAGAACAATGAACTCTTCATTGCCAAGGCATTTAGCATATTAAGGGTCTAAAATTTCCGTGTGGCATAAATAACAAGTCATCACACCTCAACCAGTCTCTGGATAAAATTCGAGTTGCAGTCTTGCAGTTCGACCAATAATCATTGAGATAATCAGTTTGTGCGTCTGCCATCATGACATTTCGTGCTCTAACTTGAATTTCAAGGTAGGTAAATAACAGTTTTGTTCAACTATTAACAAAATAGAACAACAACAGACAATATCGATGAAGGTCCAAGAAACTCTAAAATTTATTAGACTTGGCATACCTCTCAATTTCTGATCACTGCTGTCAGTAACAAGATGTTACGTTTAGCATTTAATAATAATTTATTATTACTTATATAGCGCAAAATACATGTGGATATGATCTCATGCGCTCCATTTGACGTTTGTCAGTCATCATCTTGCGTAAAGAAAATGTAAAAGTTTTAAGCCGCTTTTAGCATAAAACTGAAAGCAATCTTTGTACCCTTGAATTTCCTGTTATCATCAAATGCGCAATAACTTGTTCCTTCGTGCTTCTTGTTCATGCCATGCAAGTTCGTAATCATATTCATTTAGGATATCTTTTAGGAAATTACAACAGAAATTTATAAGTCTTTAAAAACTGGGAAGAACTTTGAAATTTCATAAACATGTAAATCAAAGAACCGTGATAGAATAATATCAGACGTGAAATTAATTCAAACTGTTTGCCAGCAAAGAAACCTTGGTATCAATGAAGTGGAGTTGAGGTTTGAAAAAAATAGGTTTTTACGCTATACCAAGCTTATCGAGGTACATTTTTTGAAGGACTTTAAGCTCTAAGATGCACAATCATCCTATGGCGTCACAGTCTTCGATTTCTTGTTTTCTGCATTTTAATGAGATACAACATTTGAACCTGGAGAGGAAATATTTTAGTTTTAATTACAAAGTGCTGGGACTAAGCATCCAAACAGAAAGCAGATTCAGTGGGTACACCTTATGCTAATATAAAGTAGAGATGAGTTTTCACTTTGGCTCAAGTGAATTTAGTTGTGTAGCCACTTTTCGTATCCATACCGTCATGCACAATTGATCAGTGCGTATGAGCGATAAAGTATTTATTTTAACGAGAACAACATGGCGAAAGAACTTTTCCCTTTTCACTGAAGACGTATGCATGCTTCAACAAATCTCTTTCAGGATTTTGGTCGAGGATAGCTATCACCAGAGCTCATGTCGAGTATGGCTCTACAGCCTTTTACGAACGAGCAGCTGAATTACTTTAAATTTGCCTCAATTGTACTGAATGAGTTCGCCATTGCTTTGCGTCAGACGTTCAAATCCATGTGGGACAACAGATTTGGACATCGTCCCGGGTATCAACTGTGGGATAACTCCACGATAGTAAGAAGTTTGTTTCTCACTGAAGAAGGTGGAAAAAGCAAAGTTCCTACACACATCTCCTATGAAGAATGGGATTGTACCGCCCTGTTCCAGGCCACCATCTATGCAAGGTCCTTCGCCACGCCAGATAGCAAAGGTCATTACAAGACACTTGGTGAACTGTACGTAAAACACCATAAAGTACCTCGTGGAAAGTTCCATCCATCTGTTTTGAGTGCAAGTGGAAATAAAGCCGAAACCTTCGCTCTCGCGATTGATCAGCTTCGACTTTTACGAAACTCGCTTTGTCACTCAGACAGGTCAGAGATTGATAAACCAACCTTTGACCAATTTGTGCAGCTCGCTAAAGAAGCATTCAAAGCTCTTGGTATCATGACAGATCCCGTTGATGCCATCGGTGGATTGACAGAGTCTGACTTTCCCACCAAAGAAGTTCGCAAATTGGAGGAAAGTCTTCGACAGGAGACCAGATCATACATCGAGTGTCTCGAGGAAGTAAGATCAGGTGTCGAGTGTTTCGAAGAAGTGAGATCAGGTGTCGACAAATTAATAGCACAGGGGAATGCTATGATAAAAGTTGAAGACCTCGTTTTGCTGGAGAGAAAAATAGATGATTTGAAACTTAAGATGGATCAAGATCAAACAGGTATAATCTGATTGTAAACTTTACAGGATTTTTAGATTGATAACAATTCTAGGATGCAATGTGGCAGAGTCTTATAAGCACTACTTTGGCACGGAGGACCAAGAGACAACAGCGTTATTATTCTGCAGCTGTACTTTAGTATGAATAGGTCAACGGGGCAACTTCCAGCTTTGAACATGTCTTAAAAATCCTTTCTTCTTCCCTAACATGACTCTCTTCTATAATCGAACCTCGAACAATCTGTTTTCTTTTATGTCAAAACAATTTTTTCATGAAGTAAACTGCACCCGCGATATTTACCAACATCGTGACTTTTGTAGGATGTTCCTAAGATCACAACTTCACGGAAAAAACAAGAAGCCCATGACTAGAGCTGTATCCATAATACTAGATTTTTAATATTACTGTAAAATTAACCCTTTTTTGTAATCGTTATTTTTCATTTGCTCTTCAAACTACCGACATTTAGCTCTTTCATGATTGCATCAATTTGTTCCTTTTAAGATTCAAAGCCATTCCTTCCACCATCAAATCTTCCTTCAAGGGTTCCACACTTCACGGGCCGTCAGAGAGAATGTGAAGACATCAGCCGTCACTTAACTTCCAAAAGTTCCCGGATCGTGTCCATATGGGGCTCGCCTGGTTTTGGTAAGACGTCTGTGGCAACTGAAGTCGGATATCAACTCCAAACTGGTGGACTTCCCGTATACTTCTTCTCCATGCGAGGGCTTCTTTCAAAAGCCGATCTGACTACGCAGCTTCTGAGCTTCTTTAAAAGACACTACACAAAAGATCAAATGCCTCATGGGATGTCCATAGAAGACGAACTTGCCCTCTTTCTAAGCGACATTTCAGGTGAATTTGTGATGATTCTTGACAATGCCGATGAATTACTCGAAAGTGGAGCACCGAATGTGAAGGAGGATTTCATAAACCTTCTGGTAGTCATTCTTTGTCAATTCAAAAACTTAACATTTCTTCTTACCACGAGGCAATCTCTTGAATTTATGAATGTACATTTTAAAGGCCATCAAGCAGTAAGAATAGGGCCATTACACGAGTCCTTCTCTCAAACGTTAGTCGGCGGACTACTTCCAAAAGCGACCGCGTCTGACTGCTCGAATATTGCAAAAATATGCGGGTTCGTACCTTTGGCCATGAAACTGTTATGTTCCTCTATTGCTGAAGATAATATTCAGCCGACTCAATTTTTGGTTAGCTTCAAGGAATCTATAGAAGATAACCTTTTGGAGCTGTTGGACAATCCAGATTATCCAAGCAATCTGCGATTGAAGCTCCTATTTGAATCCTCTTTTCAGAGACTCGCTATATCAGAGAAAGAAGCGCTGGTATCACTCAGTGTTCTTTCTGGAGATTTTAACCACTCGGTTGCTACAGCTGTCATGGGTGTTAAACCAACTCTGGAGGCCAGAAAAATCTTGCATAGGCTTCGGAGAAAATCCTTCCTCGACTCTAGCTTAAAATCTGAGTCATTTTCGATGCATAAGTTGATTCTGTCGTTTGTAAGGGAAAGAGGTCAAGATGAAATGAAAGAGGCCATGCTGAACTCCAAAGCACGTTTGTCTGCATTTTACGTCTCTCTTTTCGAGCAGCTAAATCAACAGTTTTTGACAGGACAATCCATGCAAGCATTTATTGATTTCTATGAAGAGAAGCAGAATATTGTTCAAAGTCTTATGGAGAGCTGTTCCGATCCTAAGACATGTGACGTTGCATTTGGTGTCCTGACAAAAGCAGAAATCTTTCTAGACTCCCTTTTCTGGTGCGAGGGGAAAATCATCGACAAAATTTACGATCACGCAACCAAAGAAGCTCAGAAGTTTAAAAAGGGAGCGTTCTACAGTCAGTTGCTGGTGTCCTTAGCATTCACCGAAGTGACTTGGGGGATAGATGGAAGATCGATGACGCTGCTCTCTAAAGCCGAAGGCCCTTCTTTGTCGGTAGATGATAAAATAAAAATCCTGTGTTATGGAGGCATCTGTCAACTGGTTTCAGGCAAAGTAGACGACGGAGCTCAGAAGTTGCAAGAAGCTCTTTGCTTGATGAGTGAAAGCCCGGAACAACGAATTCTCAGCGTAACTGCACTGCAAATTCTTGTTACTTACTTTCTTTTCAATAAAAAGAAAGCAACTTCACTGGAGTTTTACACCAAAGCTTTACATGAATGCAGAGCATTAGGAGACACAAGTCTTCTTGTTATTCCTCCGGTGAATAACAAAGATTTGACAATGATCGAAGCAGATATGCCGGAACCAGATGTTATAAGCACTCAACCACTTAGATTAGAAACTATCTGTGTTGTTAGCAAAGCAACAGAATTGTTCTCAGATTACGAAACAAAGCAAGCAATAAGCAAATCTGTGCTAAGGATGTCGAATCAAACAAAAACACAGATCATCCCACATTCCATTGGTTCATGGACCTTCCAGCGCAACATCAATTGGACACTTAAAAATGTACTGAATAATCCCGAGGAGGCATCAAAGTTGTGCGACACACGGATCAGTTATCATAAAAAGACCTTAAAACAAGGTGGAAAAGTTAACGCAGGAGATAAAGTTAGACCCAACAAAAATCTTGATTTAAATTTGCATCAAGAAGAATTATATAAAAGCTTTCTGGACCAAGGCAAAACTCTTCGTCAGATGAAAAACTATCCTAAAGCCATTCAGTTCTTTGAATATGCCCTAAACATCGCAAGAGGACTATTCGGGGAGGAACACCAAGACACAGCCGAAAGTTACTTTTCTATCGGAGTAACACAACATGCTTTAGGAAATTTCTCGTCAGCACTTCAGTCCCATCAGCGTGCTCTTGACATAGGAGTTAAGCTCTTCGGGGAAGAACACCCAGACATAGCCGAAAGTTACTTTTGTCTCGGAGTAACACAACATGCTTTGGGCAGTTTCTCGTCAGCACTTCAGTCCAAACACCGTGCTCTTAACATAAAAGTTAAACTCTTCGGGGAAGAACACCGACACACAGCCGAAAGTTACTTTTCTATCCGAGTAACACAACATGCTTTAGGAAATTTCTCGTCAGCACTTCAGTCCCATCAGCGTGCTCTTGACATAAGAGTTAAACTCCTCGGCGAAGAACACCCAGACGCAGCCGAAAGTTACTTTTCTATCGGAGTAACACAACATGCTTTAGGAAATTTCTCGTCAGCACTTCAGTCCCATCAACGTGCTCTTGACATAAGAGCTAAACTCTTCGGCGAAGAACACCCAGACACCGCCAAAAGTTACTTTTCTATCGGAGTAACACAACATGGTATACGAAATTTCTCGTCAGCACTTCAGTCCCATCAGCATGCTCTTGACATAAGAATTAAATTCTTTGGGGAAGAACACCGACACACAGCCGAAAGTTACTTTTCTATCGGAGTAACACAACATGCTTTAGGAAATTTCTCGTCAGCACTTCAGTCCCATCAGCGTGCTCTTGACATAACAGTTAAACTCTTCGGGGAAGAACACCGAGACACAGCCAAAAGTAACTTTTCTATCGGAGTAACACAACATGCTTTAGGAAATTTCTCGTCAGCACTTCAGTCCCATCAGCGTGCTCTTGACATAAGAGTTAAACTCTTCGGCGAAGAACACCCAGACACCGCCAAAAGTTACTTTTCTATCGGAGTAACACAACATGGTTTACGAAATTTCTCGTCAGCACTTCAGTCCAGTCAGCATGCTCTTGACATAAGAGTTAAACTCTTCGGGGAAGAACACCGAGACACAGCCGAAAGTTACTTTTCTATCGGAGTAACACAACATGCTTTAGGATATTTCTCGTCAGCACTTCAGTCCCACCAGCGTGCTCTTGACATAAGAGTTAAACTCTTCGGCGAAGAACACCCAGACACAGCCAAAAGTTACTTTTCTATCGGAGTAACACAACATGCTTTCGGCAATTTCTCCTCAGCACTTCAGTCCTGTCAGCGAGCTCTTGACATAAGAGTTAAACTCTTCGGCGAAGAACACCCAGACACAGCCGAAAGTTACTTTTCTATCGGAGGAACACATCATGCTTTAAGCAATTTCTCGTCAGCACTTCAGTCCTGTCAGCTAGCTCTTGACATAAGAGTTAAACTCTTCGGCGAAGAACACCCAGACACAGCCAAAAGTTACTTTTCTATCGGAGTAACACAACATGCTTTCGGCAATTTCTTGTCATCACTTCAGTCAAAACAGCGTGCTCTTGACATAAGAGTTAAACTCTTCGGGGAAGAACACCGAGACACAGCCGAAAGTTACTTCTCTCTCGGAGTAACTCAACATGCTTTAGGAAATTTCTCGTCAGCACTTCAGTCCCATCAGCGTGCTCTTGACATAAGACTTAAACTCTTCGGCGAAGAACACCCAGACACAGCCAAAAGTTACTTTTCTATCGGAGTAACACAACATGCGTTTGGCAATTTCTCGTCAGCACTTCAGTCCAAACAGCTTGCTCTTGACATAAGAGTTAAACTCTTCGGGGAAGAACACCAAGACACAGCCGAAAGTTACTTTTCTATCGGAGTAGCACAACATGCTTTAGGAAATTTTTCGTCAGCACTACAGTCCCATCAGCGTGCTCTTCACATAACAGTTAAACTCTTCGGAGAAGAACGCCGAGACACAGCCGAAAGTTACTTTTTTATCGGAGTAACACAACATGCTTTAGGAAATTTCTCGTCAGCACTTCAGTCTCATCAGCGTGCTCTTGACATAAGAGTTAAACTCTTCGGCGAAGAACACCCAGACACAGCCGAAAGTTACTTTTCTATCGGAGTAACACAACATGCTTTAGGAAATTTCCCGTCAGCACTTCAGTCCCATCAGTGTGCTCTTGACATAAGAGCTAAAGTCTTCGGCGAAGAACACCCAGACGCAGCCGAAAGTTACTTTTCTGTTGGAGTAACACAACATGCTTTAGGAATTTTGTCGTCCGCACTTCAGTCCCATCAGCGTGCTCTTGACATAAGAGTTAAACTCTTCGGGGAAGAACACCCAGACACAGCCGAAATTTACTTTTCTATTGGAGTAACACAACATGCATTAGGAAATTTCTCGTCAGCACTTCAGTCCCATCAGCGTGCTCTTGACATAACAGTTAAACTCTTTGGAGAAGAACGCCGAGACACAGCCGAAAGTTACTTTTCTATCGGAGTAACACAACATGCTTTAGGAAATTTCTCGTCAGCACTTCAGTCCCATCAGCGTGCTCTTGACATAAGAGTTAAACTCTTCGGCGAAGAACACCCAGACACAGCCGAAAGTTACTTTTCTATCGGAGTAACACAACATGCTTTAGGAAATGTCTCTTCAGCACTTCATTCCTGTCAGCGAGCTCTTGACATAAGAGTTAAACTCTTCGGCGAAGAACACCCAGACACAGCCGAAAGTTACTTTTCTATCGGAAGAACACAACATGCTTTAGGCAATTTCTCCTCAGCACTTCAGTCCTGTCAGCTAGCTCTTGAGATAAGAGTTAAACTCTTCGGCGAGGAACACCCAGACACAGCCAAAAGTCACTTTTCTATCGGAGTAACGCAACATGCTTTCGGCAATTTCTCGTCAGCACTTCAGTCCAAACAGCGTGCTCTTGACATAAGAGTTAAACTCTTCGGGGAAGAACACCGAGACACAGCCAAAAGTTACTTTTCTATCGGAGTAACACAACATGCTTTAGGAAATTTCTCGTCAGCACTTCAGTCCCATCAGCGTGCTCTTGACATAGGAGTTAAACTCTTCGGCGAAGAACACCCAGACACAGCCAAAAGTTACTTTTCTCTCGGAGAAACACAACATGCGTTCGGCAATTTCTCGTCAGCACTTCAGTCCAAACAGCGTGCTCTTGACATAAGAGTTAAACTCTTCGGGGAAGAACACCGAGACACAGGCGAAAGTTACTTTTCTATCGGAGTAACACAACACGCTTTAGGAAATTTCTCGTCAGCACGTCAGTCCCATCAGCGTGCTCTTGACGTAAGACTTAAACTCTTCGGCGAAGAACACCCAGACACAGCCGAAAGTTACTTTTCTATCGGAGTAACACAACATGCTTTAGGAAATTTCTCGTCAGCACTTCAGTCCCATCAGCGTGCTCTTGACATAAGAGTTAAACTCTTCGGTGAAGAACACCCAGACACCGCCGAAAGTTACTTTTCTATCGGAGTAACACAACATGCTTTCGGAAATTTCTCGTCAGCACTTTAGTCCAGACAGCATGCTCTTGATATAAGAGTTAACCTCTTCGGGGAAGAACACCCAGACACAGCCGAAAGCTACTTTTGTCTCGGAGTAACACAACATACTTTAGGCAATTTCTCGTCGGCACTTCAGTCCCATCGGCGTGCTCTTGACATAAGAGTTAAACTCTTCAGCGAAGAAAACCCAGACACAGCCAAAAGTTACTCTTCTCTCGGAGTAACACAACATGCTTTAGGAAATTTTTCGTCAGCACTAAAGTCCCATCAGCGTGCTCTTGACATAAGAGTTAAACTCTTTGGGGAAGAACACCAAGACACAGCCGAAAGTTACTTTTATCTCGGAGTAAAACAAGATGCTTTAAGCAATTTCTCGTAAGCACTTCATTCCAAACAGCGTGCTCTTAACATAAGAGTTAAACTCTTAGGCGAAGAACACCCAGACACAGCTAAAAGTTACTTTTCTATCGGAGTAACATAACATGCTTTAGGAAATTTCTAGTCAGCACTTCAGTCCCATCAGTGTGCTCTTGACATAAGAGTTAAACTCTTCAGAGAAGAACACCGAGACACAGCCGAAAGTTACTTTTGTATCGGAGTATAACAAGATTCTTTAGGAAATTTCTCGTCAGCACTTCAGTACGAACAGCGTGCTCTTGACATAAGAGTTAAACTCCTCGGCGAAGAACACCCAGACGCAGGCGAAAGTTACTTTTCTATCGGAGTAACACAACATACTTTAGGAAATTTCTCGTCAGCACATCAGTCCCATCAGTGTGCTCTTGACATAAGAGTTAAACTCTTCCAAGAAGAACACCCAGACTCAGCCAAAAGCTACTTTTCTATCGGAGTAAGACAACATGCTTTAGGAAATTTCTCGTCAGCACTTCAGTCCAAACAGCGTGCTCTTGACATAAGAGTTAAACTCCTCGGCGAAGAACTCCCAGACGCAGCCGAAAGGTACTTTTCTATCGGAGAAACACAACATGCTTTAGGAAATTTCTCGTCAGCACTTCAGTCCCATCAGCGTGCTCTTGACATAGGAGTTAAACTCTTCGGCGAAGAACACCCAGACACAGCCAAATGTTACTTTTCTATCGGAGTAACACAACATGCTTTAGAAAATTTCTCGTCAGCACTTCACTCCCATAAGCTTGCTCTTGACATAAGAGTTAAACTCTTCAGGGAAGAACACCAAAACACAGCCGAAAGTTACTTTTATCTCGGAGTAAAACAAGATGCTTTAAGCAATTTCTCGTAAGCACTTCATTCCAAACAGCGTGCTCTTGACATTAGAGTTAAACTCTTAGGCGAAGAACACCCAGACACAGCTAAAAGTTACTTTTCTATCGGAGTGACATAACATGCTTTATGAAATTTCTCGTCAGCACTTCAGTCCCATCAGCGTGCTCTTGACATAAGAGTTAAACTCTTCGGGGAAGAACACCGAGACACAGCCGAAAGTTACTTTTATCTCGGAGTAACACAACATGCTTTAGGAAATTTCTCGTCAGCACTTCAGTTCAAACAGCGTTTTCTTGACATAAGAGTTAAACTCTTCGCAGAAGAAAACCCAGACACAGCTGAGAGTTACACACATTTTGGAGTAACACAACATGACTCAGGAGACTTTTTGTCAGCACTTCAGTCCAAACAACGTGCCCTTGACATATGAATTAAACTCTTCAGCGAAGAACACCAAGACACAACTCAGAGTTACTCTTCTATCGGAGTAACACAACATGTTTTAGGGAAGTACCCGTCAGCACTTCAGTCCAAACAGCGTGCTCTTGACATAAGAGTTAAACTCTTCGGGGAAGAACACTCAGACACAGTTCATAGTTACCTTAATCTCGGAGTAACATAACATGCTTTAGGCAATTTTACGGTAGCTCTTCAGTCCGATCAGCGTGCTCTTGACATGAGAGTTAAAACTTCGGGAAAGCCAGACAGCTGAGTGTTACTTTTCTCTCGGAGTAACACAACATGCTTCAGGCGATTTTTTGTCGGCACTTTAGTTCAAAGAGTGTGCTGTTAACATAAGAGTTAAACTCTTTGGGGAAGAACACAGAGACAGGCTAAAGCTTTTAACCTCTTAGTTACAGAACAAGCTTTAGGGAAATCGCTCTGACGAAGGGCCAACGCTCGAAACGTCAGCTTTTTTACTCTTTACGGTGGCCAATTGACGTTTTCAACTCAGTTGTTAACATTAAATTACAATTTACATTAAGGTTACTTTTCACCTTTTACTTTTTAAGGTTACTTTTCCGAAAAAATCCCTTTTTCTTGATATTTGAGTAAACTGAATTCAAACATTTAACCTAATGTTTCCACTAAAGAGATTTCTGATATTTTTAAAGGCACCCGAGTTATTTAGAAAAACGTACTTTCAAAAAAAGTTAATAAATCAGGAGGGTGTCATAATCTTGGACCTTGGCGAATCTGCCGTGGGAATTTTCGCGGCAACCACTCATGTTGGGGCTCGTTTTCTATGTTATTTCCATAGTTTGTTTACGTCGCGCACTTGACAAATTTCACAATGCGAAGTTCTTTGCTCACGGAAAAACCTTTACTCATCGAAAAATCAAAAGCGGAAGAAATTTTCTTTGGTAAAAAAAAAAGAAGAAAAAAAAGAGCTCTACGCTAGCGTCCATATTTCGAACAAAGAAGTCATCGTCAAAACAAAATTTGCCATACATAATGTTAAAAACAAGGTCTCCTTTTATTTATGCAAGTACCAGCTTGATACAAATCGTAATTTTGAAAGGTGTCTGTCGATCCGTTGTCTTGCTCCTCAGGACATTTTCCAGTTTTTTCCATTTTAGCCTTTGGTAAAGTTTGCTAGGATTATAGTGAAACTAGCACTCCAACGATTTTTTTTTCCCGAAGGACACCCGCGAAGGTGGGAAGTAACCTTAGCAAGTCAGTTGATAAAACCAAATTATCTTGCTATACTCTCCCACTGACGCAGCACCACAGTTTATTTAGAAACTCACTCCCTTTAATGATAAAACCCAGTTGAAGGACTCCTTCCCTTTTAAGCTATGTAGAAGAGTAAACCCCGGTCACTCTGGGAAGAAAAGTGACTTGGATTTGCAGAAAAATTAAACGATTTTGGGAAAACTTGAAGGAACCATTTAGTCTTGTTTTTTTTCTTCAACAAAAATAAAAGATTTTTAACTTCACCTCAATGTTTCTTTTCAGAAACTTCATTAAAAAACACTTCTTGTCTTAATCTGAGTTTACTCGAGATAAAAATGTCATTTTTGACGTTTAAGTGACATGGAAACGAATTAGTTGAAGAGGTTGGCGTGGCATCATGGAAGTTTCGGATTACTCATTCGTTTCGCGGGAAAATTAAGTCATTCTAGGTCGGTCAGTCTTATGTTTGACCACTTTCTTTTCTGTATTTGTTGTAATTTACAATCATTGTTTTTTCTTCCTTCGTACTAGAAGACTGACTGGCTCATCCTGAATGAACTTTTCACATTGAATTTATCGTGTGAGTGTTGTCAGGATGACAACTTTACATTGACTCTAGAATATGAAAAAATAAATAAGTCCCTAACTCTCAGATCCTGTCTCAACCCGTAAAAATTTTTTCTCATTTAAAATTTTAAAAAATGCACCTTAGATTGAGGACATGAAAGATATGAGAATACTTTTTCTTTACAAGCTGCATCAACTGCGTGCAAACGAAGATTTCGACGAGGACTGACAAAGACGGTTTCTCACCTGCGGTGTTCAGGTCAAGATTAGAACAAAGCACTCCCGTTACTGAATGATTAGTTAATTGCCTTCGTGTTTTGTTTTCTACGGCGAAATCTATGGTAATGATGGGTAGCTGTGTTCATTTCTGTTTACATAACATGTTATTTCTTATTTCTTTGGTTAATGCTCCAGAGTTTCGTTGCTGTAGAGTAATTTCCTTGGCAAACCAAAAGCTAACTTTTGACGAAATAATCAGCTGTATCACGAGGTACGATGATTTTTCGCCTAAAAGTGATCGGACTGTTTCATTGTAAACTGCTCCTTTCCTCAGAGATTGTAAAGGCAGAGGCCGTCGTCGTCGAACCGGTCAAACGAAAAACGAGTGAGTTTATAGTAATCCGGATTCAAGTTAATCTCAAATAGGGATTTTAATACAGAAAAACCTTCTTTAGTTTAAGTGTGGCATTGCCATGCGACCCATTGCGCACAACACTTGGATTCGCTACCATGCATCTAATTCAATAATATTTGCGTTTCTTTAATTATCTCGTTGCAGTGCTGTTATCACAATGATATTGCTTCTGTTGCTACTTTTAGTTTCTTGAGGGCAGGGGGGAATTGATGGCTCGTGGGATGGATTTTTGGAAACCTAAGTTAGGAGAATACACGGACCCTTCGAGCTTGTGTTTATGCCAGTATCCGCCAGAGGTTCACGCCATAGGATATCGGTCAGCTCAGGAAACGGCTTGAACTTTATCACAAATGATACATTTCTGTTGTTAAAATACGACATAAACTACAATTGATAGGATTTTCATACGATAAGAGAAAAAAGCGCAAATGTAGTCGTGTGGAAAGACAGAGAGAATGAATACATCTCAAGCGCGTGCAATAAGGAGCTCCCTATTCTTCGCTTGCGAAATGTCAGCCGAAAAGAATGTTGAACAATCGCGTACGGTGTGGATACAGGCTACTTAATCAGCATCCTCTTTAGCTGAAATCTTTGGTTATCTTCCCCTGATTTAACTCAGTAGTTATATATGTTCGTAACAGGCGTCTTCGAAGCCGGTACGGAGCATAAGGCCAACGACATTGAAGAGTAAAATCTCCTCGATGTCGACGATCGAGACACGTCCATTTTGGTCATATACCTACATCATTTGGAAATTAGTGTTTAAAAATACCTGATATATGTGTATTATTCTTGTAGCTATCATTTGGCGCTCCGGCCACCCATTACGTCCGTCCTTCTTTCCAGATTTTCCCTTTCTCCACCATAGCTGCCGACGTGTCTTCACATTTTTCTACGTCACAGCGATAACATAATCGTTTTTTGCCGCGCGCTTAATGGAGACACTTTTTGATATACATTCCTTTTAGGTTAGAGAAACCAAAATGAGCAAATAAACGACATATTCTTCAAAGCCAAATTTTCTACAATTTTTTTGACACTTAATCGACGGCCATTTTGAAAACGTTCCGATCCAGGCTACGTGATGTGATACACCACACGTGTGTAAGGCAGGGAAAAGGGTAGCCTGAAAAACAGGCTTAATTTTGGTGAGCGAGTGCTAAGTATTTTCTGAACAAAAATTATGGCTGCCATCTTTGATTTGAATGAGAGCAGAAGGCTGGGGAGAGAAAGAAATTTGTACTATGGGGGCGGTCGACGGTCAAAAAAAAGAACAAGAAGGGGGGGGGTGGAGGAATGAAGATTCTCGCCCCCCCCCTACTCCCACTGTCCACTCTAACTCCAAATCAAACATGGCCGGTCGGATAAACGACCGCGAGCTTATAACGTTAGCTCCCACTAATAAGAAACATACACTGCAGGCTATGAAAAGGGTCATGCTAAGAACTGAAAGTAACAACTTCGCCCTCGCTGTTCAACCGCTACCGAGCAGAAAAAAATGTATTTGTTCCATTTTGATACAAGCCACCATTTAGAGACTATGAAATACGAAGCGAGAAATACGGATCGCGTATCTGTATTCAGAGCAACGGGTAAATTACATGCCATACCAAACAGAGGTAAAAAAATAGTTATATGTATTATTTTTTCCTCTTGACCATGATCGAGTCTGTTACTAATAGAAATATTTTTTAGTCCAAGCCGAAAAGTATTAAACTTAAAATTTTGTCCGGCGTATATCACTGTGACCTCAAGCCCATCGATTCTAGAGTAAGCGTAACATAAGCGCAAAGTGTCGTCACGTATTATGGGAGGTCTTGATCTGGTTTCGTGAAAGAAACTCTTCCTCCACGTTCCGAAAATATACAAGATTTATACTTTCTGTATCTTTTTTTAACGGAGACCAGTGAGCAGCACAAAGAAAGACTACTTGGTGTTGTAACTTTTTGTTTATTTTTTCCGACGCATTTTGTCTGAGACTTCTTCAGGGATGATTACAACTAACATTGAACAGTATATATAGCACATTCGTGTCCCTAAGTATGACTTCCAGCGGAAGTGAATAATAACAGAAACATGTTGTAAACCAACGTAACAAGAGATGTCTTGTTATGAGCGCTACACTCCAGCATTGTTTCTCATTTGCGACCGGAAAATAGGATGAAATAAATCTTGTCTGCAATGTTACTCGTTTCAAAAATGTACCACTGTCAGCTGAGTGAACAGTAAATTACTCACGCTCGTTTATCGTAAATAAAACAAGCCGACAGCCTGAGAGAGGAAGCCATGAAAGCACATGTCATGAGACTGCCTAGCACCCACAGTATCAAACGCAATATCTTGGTTAAGAAAACGAACCGAGTAAGCGACCCAATCGTGTGACGGAAATAACAAGCTCGTAATAAGGTAAGATTGAGGAAAGTAGTGGTTATTTCTGTTAAGACTAAGTCAGGGAATTTTGAAGAGCAGGCGTGTTTGTGAGTCGTCCATTCTGTTTTTTTTTTTTTTGTTTTTTTTTTTGCATCTTTCAAGCAAGCAGAAGTAAGCGTTAGGTGAGCGCTATGGATGAAAAAGAAGTTATTCCTGCTCTATCGCGTGTTTTGAAGAGCATTGTTCAGGGGGCCATGTTTATTTCAAAAAGGAAATTGAGCAATGCTGAGTGTATTGACCAGATTAAAGGGGAATTTCCCCTTCTAAGGCGCGTTTGACCAGTAAATATCACGCCACATTTCTCGAGAACAATTAATTCTTCATTGCTTAGGCATTTAGGATAGTAAGGGTCAGTTTAGAATTCCTGTGTGGTATGAATAGGTAGTCATAACACAACCACTCTCCGGATAAATTTCGAGTTGCATTCTCGCAGTTCGTCCAATAATCATTCAGATAATCAGTTTGTGCGTCTGCCATCATGATATTTCTCGCTCTAACTTGAATTTCGAGGTAGGTGAGTAACAGTTTTCTTCAACTGCACCTTGAGTTGTTCATTATCACCGCTGTGTGTTTGTCGACGAATCCGGTGACAACTTTTGGACGGCCAGAAGTCACGGTAAAGGGCACGAGGGAGAATCTGATTTACGCGCAGATGATCGCTTTTTGTCGCTTAGGAATGTAACTTCACGCAATTGTTGGCCTTTTCAAACAAATGAATGCGTATTTTCTCGTGATGAACAGCAAAAGGTTTATTAACGAACGTTTTGAGCCGCTTTTAGCAGAAATTAAAACGCAATCTTTTGTACCCTTCAATTTCCTGTTATCATCAATTGCGCAATAATTTGTTTCTTCGTGCTTGTCGTTCATGCCATGCAAGTTCGTAATCCCATTTATTTAGGATATCTTGTTGGAAGTTAATACTTTGAAAACTTGAAAGAGTTTTGAAATTTCATACACATATAAATCAAAATAGCGTGATATTATGATATTAAACGTGAAATTATTTCAAACTGTTTGCTGGCAAAGAAAAGTTTGTATCAATAAAGTGGAGTTGAGGTTTGAGAAAAACTAGGTTTTGATGCTATACCAAGCTTATTGAAGTGAATTTTTTGAAGGACTTTAAGTTCTAAGATGCACATTCATCCTATAGCGTCACAATCTTCGATTTCTCGGTTTCCGCATTGTAATATGATACAATTGTTTCGGTTGAACCTCGAGGGAGAAATCTTTTAGTTTCAATTACAAAGTGCTGGGACTTGGCATCCAAACAGAAAGCAGATTCAAAGCGTAAATCTTTATTCTAACTAGAGATGAGTTTTCACCTTTTCTCAAGTCAATTTAGCTGTGTAGCCACTTTCCGTATCCATGCCGTTATGCGCAATTGATAGAGCCAGTGCACATGTGCGATTAAGTATTTATTAAAACGAGAATAGCATGACGAAAGAATATTTTACCTTTTCCTCTCACATATATCAATCGCTGTTTAATTTCACATGATATGTATCTATGCTTGAACAAATTGAATCTTTCTCAGGATTTAGGTCGAGGATAGCTGTCTCCAGTGCTAATGCCGAGAATGGCTTTACAGCCTTTTACAAACGAGCAGCTGAATTACTTCAAATTTGCCTCAGTTGTAGTAAATGAGTTCGCCACTGCTTTGCGCCAGACGTTCAAATCCATGTGGGACAATAGATTTGGACATCGTCCCGGATATCAACTGTGGGATAACTCCACGGTAGTAAGAAATTTGTTTCTCGCTGAAGAAGGTGGAAAAAGCAAAGTTCCTACACACATCTCCTGTGAAGAATGGGATTGTACCGCTCTGTTCCAGGCCACCATTTATGCAAGGTCCTTCGCTACGCCAGATAGCAAAGGTCATTACAAGACACTCAGTGAAATGTACGTAAGGCACCATAAAGTACCTCCCGGAAAGTTCCATCCATCTGTTGTGAGTCCAAGTGGAAATACCGCCGAAATCTTCGCTCTTGCGATTGATCAGCTTCGACTTTTACGAAACTCCTTTTGTCACGCAAACAGGTCAGAGATTGATAAACCAACCTTTGACCAATACGTGAAGCTTGCTAAAGAAGCATTCAAAGCTCTTGGAATCATAACAGATCCCATTGATGCCATCGGTGGACTGACAGAGTCTGACTTTCCCACCAAAGAAGTTCGCAAATTGGAAGAAAGTCTTAGACAGGAGACCAGATCATACATCGAGTGTCTCGAAGAACTAAGATCAGGTGTCGAGTGTCTCGAAGAAGTGAAATCAGGCGTCGACAAATTAATAGCACAGGGGAATGCGATAAAAGAAAAAGTTGATGACCTCGCTTTGTTGAAGGGAGAAATAGATGATTTGAAACTTAACATGGATGAAGATCAAACAGGTATAAACTGATTAAAAGCTTTACAGAATTTTTTGATTAACAACAATTTAAGATGTAATATGGCAGTCTTATAACCATTAGTTTGGCAGGGAGGAACTGAAAAGAAATAGTAGCGTTTCTTCTCTTTACTCTAGTAGTAATAGTTCAACGGGGCAACTTCCAGTTTTCGCAAAAGTGCTTCGTACATGTCTTGAAAATCCTGTCTTCGTCCCTAAGATGAATTTATTCTATAATCAGAATACCACCTTAAACAATCTGTTATCTTTTATTTTAAAACAATTTGTTTAAGAAGTAAGCCGCAGCCATTACATTTACCGGCATCGTGACTCTTGTGGGATGTTGTTAACATTACAACCTCACGGAAAGAGCAAGAAGCTCATGATTAAAGCTGTCCCTAAAACATGATTTCCACATTTTTAATGGTAAAGTAAAATGTACTTTTTATTATCATCGTTATTTTTCTCTTCAAACTACCGACATGAGCTCTTTCATAATTGCATCAATTTGCTTCTTTTAAGATTCAAAGCCATTCCTTCCACCATCAAATCTTCCTTCAAAGGTTCCACACTTCACTGGCCGTCAGAGAGAATGTGAAGACATCAGCAGTCACTTAACTTCCAAACGCTCCCGGATCGTGTCCATATGGGGCTCGCCTGGTTTTGGTAAGACTTCTGTGGCAACTGAAGTCGGACATCGACTTCAAACTGGTGGACTTCTCGTATACTTCTTCTCCATGAGAGGGCTTCTTTCAAAGGCCGATCTGACCACGCAGCTTCTGAGCTTCTTTAGAAGACACTCCACAAGAGATCAAATTCCTCAGCAGATGTCCATAGAAGAAGAACTTTTTCTCTTTCTAAGAGACATTTCAGGTGAATTTGTGATGATTCTTGACAATGCCGATGAATTACTCGAAAGTGGAGCACCGAATGTGAAGGAGGATTTCATAAACCTTCTCGTACTCATTCTCAGTCAATTCAAGAATTTAATATTTCTTCTTACCACAAGGGAATCTCTTGAATTTATGAATGTGCATTTTGAAGGCCATCAAGCAGTAAGAATAGGGCTATTACACGAGTCCTTCTCTCAAACCTTAGTCGGCGGATTACTTCCTAAAGCGACCGCATCTGACTGCACGAAAATTGCGAAAATCTGCGGGTTCGTACCTTTGGCCATGAAACTGTTGTGTTCCTCCATTACTGAAGATAATGCTCAGCCGAGTCAATTTTTAGATAGCCTCAAGGAATCTATAGAAAGTAATATTTTCGAGCTGTTGGACAATCCAGATTATCCAAGCTATCTGCGATTGAAGCTCCTATTTAAATCTTCTTATCAGAAACTCTCTTTATCCGAGAAAGAAGCGCTGGTATCACTTAGTGTTCTTTCTGGAGATTTTCACCACTTGGTCGCTACAGCTGTCATGGGTGTAAAAACAGCTCTGGAGGCCAAGAAAATCTTGCATAGCCTTCGGAGAAAATCCTTCCTCGACTCTAGCTCCAAACCTGAGTCATTTTCGATGCATAAGTTGGTTCTGTCGTTTGCAAGAGAAAGAGGTCAAGATGAAATGAAAGAAACCATGCTGAACTCCAAAGCACGTTTGTCTGCATTTTACGTCTCTCTTTTCGAGAAGCTAAATCAACAGTTTTTGACAGGACAATCCATGCAAGCATTTATTGACTTCTATGAAGAGAAGCAGAATATTATTCAGAGTCTTATGGAGAGCTGTTCCAATCCTAAGACATGTGACGTTGCATTTGGTGTCCTGACAAAAGCAGAATTTTTTCTAGATTCCCTTTTCTGGTGCGAGGGAAAAGTCTTTAACAAAATTTACGAGCACGCAATTGAAAAAGCTCAGGCGTTTGGAAAGAGCGTGTTTTACAATCAGTTACTTGTGTCCTTGGCATTTGCCGAAGTGACTTGGGGGATACATGGAAGATCAATGACGCTTCTCAATGAAGCCGAAGGCCTTTCTTTGTCGGTAGATGATAAAAGAAAAATCCTGTGTTATAGAGGCATCTGTCAACTGGTCTCAGGGAAAAAAGGCGACGGCACAGAAAACTTACAAAAAGCTCTTTCCTTGATGAGTGACAGCCCCGAAGAGCGAATTCTCAGAGTAACTGTTCTGCAAATTCTTGTTACTTACTTTCTTTTCATTGAAAAGAGAGCAACTTCCTTAGGGCTTTACATCAAAGCCTTACATGAATGCAGAGCATTAGGAGATGCAAGTCTCCTTATTATTCCTCCAGTGAATAACAAAGAATTGAGAATGATCGAGGCAGATATGCCGGAACCAGACGTAACAACCACTCAACCACTTAGATTAGAAATGATTGTCGTTCTTAGCAAGGCAACAGAAAAGTTCTCTGATTATGAAACAAAGCAAGCAATAAGCAAATGTGTGCTAAAGATGTCAAATCAAACAGAGAAACAGATCCTCCCACATTCCGTTGGTTTATGGACCTTCCAGCGCAACATCAATTCGACACTTTAAAATGTACTAAATAATCCCGAGGAAGCATCAAAGTTGTGCGACACATGGATCAGGTATCATAAAATGACTTTAAAACAAAGTGGAGAAGATAGCCCTGGACATAAAGCTAAGCCCAACGAAAATCTTGATTTAAATTTGCATCAAGAAGGACTATTTAGAAATTATTTTGACCATGGCATGGCTCTTCGTAAGATGCAAAACTATTCTGAAGCCATTCAGTCCTTTCAACGCGCCCTTGACGTCGCAATACATCTGTTTAACGAAGAACACCCAGACACAGCGGAGTGTTACTTCACTCTCGGAATAACCAGACATGCTACAGGGAATTTCTCCTCAGCACTTCAATCCCATCAGCGTGCTCTTGAAATAAGAGTTAAACTCTTCGGGGAAGAACACCCAGACACAGCTCATAGTTACTTTAATCTCGCTGTAACGCAACGTGACTCAGGCAACTTTTTTTCAGCACTTCAGTCCCATCAGCGTGCTCTTGAATTAAGAGTTAAAGTCCTTGGCGAAGAACACCCAGACACAGCTGAAAGCTACTTCAACCTTGGAATAACACAACATGTCTCAAGAGACTTTTTGTCAGCACTTCAGTCCAAACAGCGTGCTTTGGACATAAGAGTGAAACTCTTCGGGGAAGAACACCCAGACACAGCGAGGAGTTACTTTAGTCTCGCAGTAACACAACATGCCTCAGGCGACTTTTTGTCAGCACTTCAGTCCCATCAGCGTGCTCTTGAAGTAAGAGTTAAACTCTTCGGGGAAGAACACCCAGACACAGCGAGGAGTTACTTTAATCTCGCGGTAACATAACATGACTCAGACGACTTTTTGTCAGCACTTCAGTCCGATCAGCGTGCCCTTGAAATAAGAGTTAAACTCTTCGGGGAAGAACACCCAGACACAGCTCATAGTTACTTTAATCTCGCTGTAACGCAACATGACTTAGGCGACTTTTTGTCAGCACTTCAGTCCCATCAGCGTGCTCTTGAAATAAGAGTTAAAGTCCTTGGCGAAGAACACCCAGACACAGCTCAAAGCTACTTTAATCTTGCAGTAACACAACATGACTCAGGCGACTTTTTGTCCGCACTTCAGTCCCATCAGCGTGCTCTTTAAATAAGAGTTAAAGTCCTTGGCGAAGAACACCCAGACACAGCTGAAAGCTACTTCAACCTTGGAATAACACAACATGCCTCAAGAGACTTTTTGTCAGGACTTCAATCCAAACAGCGTGCTTTGGACATAAGAGTGAAACTCTTCGGGGAAGAACACTCAGACACAGCTTAAGGCTACTTCAGATTTGCAGTAACACAACATGACTCAGGCAACTTTTTGTCAGCACTTCAGTCCCATCAGCGTGCTCTTGAAATAAGAGTTAAAGTCCTTGGCGAAGAACACTCAGACACAGCTGAAAGCTACTTCAACCTTGGAATAACACAACATGCCTCAAGAGACTTTTTGTCAGCACTTCAGTCCAAACAGCGTGCTTTGGACATAAGAGTGAAACTCCTCGGGGAAGAACGACCCAGACACAGCGAGGAGTTACTTTAGTCTCGCAGTAACACAACATGCCTCAGGCGACTTTTTGTCAGCACCTCAGTCCCATCAGCGTGCTCTTGAAATAAGAGTTAAACTCTTCGGGGAAGAACACCCAGACACAGCGAGGAGTTACTTTAATCTCGCGGTAACACAACATGACTCAGACGACTTTTTGTCAGCACTTCAGTCCCATCAGCGTGCCCTTGAAATAAGATTTAAACTCTTCGGGGAAGAACACCCAGACACAGCGAGGAGTTACCTTAATCTCGCTGTAACGCAACATGACTCAGGCGACTTTTTGTCAGCACTTCAGTCCCATCAGCGTGCTCTTGAAATAAGAGTTAAACTCTTCGGGGAAGAACACCCAGACACATCGAGGAGTTACTTTAATCTCGGAGTAACCCAACATGCCTTAGGTGACTTTTTGTCAGCAATGCAGTCCAAACAGCGTGCTGTTGACATAGGAGTTAAACTCTTCGGGAAAGAACACCCTGACACAGCTTAAAGTTACTTTAATCTCGAACGTGCTTTAGGAACTTACTTTCAGCACCTTAGTCCGAGAAACGTGCTCTTGACATAAAAGCTAAACTCTCCGAAGAGGAACACAGATATAGTTCAAAGTTCCCTTTTTTAGGAGTAACCCAACATGCCTATGGCTACTCTTTTTCAGCACCTCAGTGCTCGCCTAACCTTGCCAAGGGGATACACCGCTGAGCATTTCAGACTCGATCTACGCCCCTTTTAAACATCATAATTGTACACGAACAAAATTCTGGCGTGCGTATTAGTCGAAAGCATGCCAGTCATTGCTCAACAGAGAAAATATAAAAGACATTTGGAAATTTCAGAGCGACAAAGGGCTAACGCTAGAAACTTCAGCCTAGAAACTATTTACGGTGGTCAATTTGCTTAGGGTTTCTTTCCACCCTCAAAGGCCGAAATGATCGATTTTTCTTTTATTTGACTAAAGTGAATTCAAGCATTTAACATAACGTTCCCATAAAAAAGTTCTTTTTCCTGAAATCTTCAAAAGTACCTGAGTTATTTAGAAAAAGGTACTTTCAAATAAAAGTTAAGAAATCAGGAAGGTGTCATAACCTTTGACCTGGGCGAATCTGAGGGAATTTTCGCGGCGACCACTCATCTTGAGATTCGTTTTTCATGTTCTTTGCATATTTTGTTTACATCGCGCACTTGAAAAAATTCACAATGGGAAGTTCTTTGCTTATGGAAAAATCTTTGCTCGTCAAAAAATCAAAAGCGGAAGAAAGTCCTAGGTAGAAAAAAAGAAGAAAAAAAAAGTTTCACGTTAGCGTCCATATTTCGAACGAAGAAGTCATCGTCAAACCAAAATTTGCCATACATAATTATAAAAACGAGGTCTTCCTTTATTTATGCACATACCAGCCTTGATACAAATTGTATTTTGAAAGCTTTCTGTCGATCTGTTGTCTTGCTCCTCAGCAAATTTTCCTGTTTTTCCATTTTAGCCTTTGGCAACTTTTTCCTTTGATATGTCGTCCTCCTCAACGTTCCACTAAGCGAGCGAGTTAAAAGGAAAAAAACCGTGTCTGCAATGGGTTACTTTTCCCATGAAATCTTGATCCAACTTCATCGACGCAGGGAGGTCCCATTAGTCGTTGTTACACTAGCCCTTTTACCCATGGGTAAATAGCGTTTGCCCACGGGCAAGGACGTTGTTTGAGCGTAACCGCTATTTACCCATGGGTAAATAGCGTTTGCCCACGGGCAAGGACGTTGTTTGAGCGTAACCGCTTTCCCCAGACCGATACTGACCTAGGGTTATTTCCATGGATACATCAAAAAGAACAAAAGAACTTCCCACGACACTTCCTGAACTGAAAATTGCGGTTTATCTGCTCCCTGAGGTGGCTTGGCCAATCATAAAGCAGAATGTAGCTAATACAGGAGATCGCCTGCAGTGTTTTGAGGTGACCTCCGATGCGCCTGGCTAATTTCGCGCCTTCTTCGGTGTCTTCTCGCAAAAAAACTGCTGGATTGTCATATTTATGGAGGACTGTCGTATAATAAGCAGGAGAATCACTGAACTTAAGCTTAATAGATCTCGATTCGTAACATCCATGTAGCTCTGTACTTTTCCTGCCAATTTGTCAGCTCAGTGAACTCATTTCTAATTATAGTTGACCCTGAGGGAAGTCTTTTACTGTGGAACCGCATCCCCAAGGGTAACATGAAACCTGAGCTTAACCAAACCCAAGCCATTTACTCTCCGTAAGGCCCCAAACCCAAGGTGTGTGTAACCACCACTCTTCAGTTCAGGAACTGTCATGGGAAGTTCTTTTGTTCTTTTAGATGTATCCATGGAAATAACTCGAGGGCAGTTTCGGTCGGGGGAAAGCAGTTACACACAAAAACGTCCTTGCCCCTGTGCAAACTCTATTTACCCATAGGTAAAAGGGTTGGTGTAACCACGACTATTATTGTCCCATTGGTTTGCGGTTTCAGGAGGCAAGATCTCCTAGCGTGGCACGAATTGTTTGTGAACTTTTACGAGTTAAAGTCTCGCGTTTGTCAAATTTCGCCAAAACATTCCTGGAATAATGACAAACGAAAGTATGTCGGCAAACTTTGATATTTGAGATATTTGAAATATTTGTCCTGTGGTGTCCATTTACGCAACGCGCCTCGCCTAGTTTTAGCTAGTTTTTTTCTCCTCATCATGTCTGTACGTCAATGAAACTTCTGAAATTAGCATACTGTGGAGATGTGGTCCTCTGATTCAACATGTGGAATTTGGAAACGCAATGTTGTCTTCGTTAGTGAAGTACCAGCGTATTGTCCATCCAGTTCTGGTAAACAGAAGATCTAAAAGACCTTGTTTGTGTTATTCTAATGCGTATGCAACATTCTGCCCGTTGATTGGAGACATTCTTTTCAAGTTGAATCCTGGTCCCGACACTAATCAAGTTAATCATTGTTCTTCTAATCTGACCTTTTGTTTGTTGAACGCTCATTTTCTGAGAAATAAATCTGCATCCTTTTGTGATTATGTTCAAGATTGCGAAGCTGCTTTTTTCGCTATTACTGAAACACGGTTAACCCAGAATGATGCTGCAGTCTGCAAAGAGATCACTCCTTATGGGTACAAATTGTTTCATTGTCCTCGTACTGATCGTAGAGGGGGTGGTATTGCACTTTTATGTAGAGAGAGTCTCAACGTACGTCGACTGTCCACCGGTGAAAAGACTTCTTTTGAGTTTCGGTCTTTTGTGCTCTCCACTTTTGATCTATTTTCTCATCTCAAGCTCTACGTTATGCAGACAGACTGAGCTTAACACCTATGGGAACATTGTAGGACGTCGTGGACTGGAGTTTTCTAGAGGCTTTGCGCAGTATATTAAAGAAAGAAGTGTTATTTCGATCTACTCTTCGCTTACCAGACATGCTTTTGGGCGTTTTTGCAATTCAGATGAGTTATGGATTAGCTTCGCCCGTGGAAATCTGCCTTGTGAACGGCCATCCTTCGTAAGGGTTCAAAATACCACTCCTGAGCCTTTTGTTTCTCTTTGGCGGTGCGGTCGCTAACGTGCCGCTTCACTGATCCGCGGCGAAAATATTTTAATCAAAGAATTTCATATTATCCTAACTCTTGTGCTGGTTTTAACTTTATGAAACTGTGTATTTCACTAAGTGGCGACATCCATCCATTACCAGGTCCAGATACCACTAGCAGTAGGATTGCTGTTATTCATGGGAATCGACAGACTCGTCGCATCCCTGACTCAGTTGGACACGTGAGCGCAAATTGTAATAGAATACAATTGACAAAGAATGCACAATCAACGGTGCATAAAAAACAAAACAAGCTCTTGGAAATAGCTCATCTTAACGCAGAGCTCCTCAAATGTAGACAACACTTCACTGAAACGAAGGAGTTTGCCTTGGAACGTGATTTTGATATTTTAACCATCTCGGAGACCTGGTTTAACTCTTCCGTGACCAACAGTGTTGCTCAATACCGGGATATGTTGGCTAGAAAATGTCCCAGTGTTTGATCATTCACAGCTGGCCCCATACTGGGCTGACTTTCCAAGTTCAAGCATGTCATACAACGGTCGAAAACCATATGTTCGCTCAATCGGCAAAAGCAGTGATTGCCATCTGGAATAAAGTGTGCTGCGGGAAGTGATGGCAGTAATGATTCTGTGTGCTCTCTTTCAATTTGTCTACCTAGTTCTGATCGAAGTCCTGTGTTGCATTCAACATTACTTCTAGTTTCCTTGGTTTCGTAATTGTACATGGTGAATGCATCTGTACTTGTTGCGTCTAGACCTCCCCCTAATAAACTATCAAAGAAGTTTGAATCACCCGAAAGGAAAATCTTGTGTCCATTGTCCAACATTGCTTCAATCCATTTGTTTAAACTGTCTGGTTTGCCTGGATCTCCTAGGTTTTGTTCAAGATTAAGCCTAGTGATACTTATGGGCCAGTAATCCTCAGGACTGTGATATCCAACTCCATTGAACATTGCCTCGTCATTCAAAACATTTAATGTCAGGGCAACAGAGTCCTTCCCACCAAAATTCCTGCCATCCCCATAAATTTTCCACAACTCCTCCTCTGGTAGCCACCAATAAAGATAACATAAAGTTTCGCGCAGGCGTCGAGGGTCGATTTGCCAACAAGAATGAGTTCTCTCAGGTTTCCATAAAACCTCAAACTCTTGAACAAACTTGTTTTTCATTGTGTTGACTTTGCGCTCTGAGTCCAAAAATCCAGGCAATTTTCTTCTTAAAGTTCGAACAATTTCAGTTGCACTTGTTGTTTCCTGAATGTCTAAAACATCTGAAGCAGACAAATGGTAATGTTGTGGTGCAGACTCGTTGATAATTGTCTCATAAACCGTCATTCTTTTCAATGGGTCATGTGCTTTCTTTGCGAAGGTCAAAAATTCCTGTGGGGAAAGTGATCCATCCCAGTCTTCATCATGGTTAGTCAAAACATCCGACTTTGAGTAATTAACTGACTGTGCAAGTGATGCGAGAAAATCCTGCTTGCTACCATGATGAACTGTTTTGGCCATTTGTGCAAGTTCTTCCTTTTGCATGTTAAGCCGCCGCACCACAGTTCTTGATTTGTACCTCCGTCCCTTCTGCTGTTGTTGATCCCTTATTGTTTCCTGTCTTTGAAGAAGAGTTTCAGTTGAAACAGGTTTACGCTTGGATGGAATCTCATAAGAACCAGAGGACAGCTGTGAATTTCTATAAGAGGTATGAACAGTATCGAACGAACCAGAAGAAAGATGTGAATTACTAGAGGAGGTATGTGCAGGAGTTGTTATTTCCTCGGAAGTAGATGCTGGGTACAGAGTGGATGATTCGTCAGGAATCGATGGTTGCAGTGCAGTATATGATGTGCCAGAATCAGCTGAATTTTGAGGAATGGTCGGGACTGCTGGTTCCAGTGTAATAGATGGCAGGCCAGAAAAAGTTGAATCAGGAGGGGCTGTTTGTTCCAAGGCATCTGTTTGTAGGTCACGATCAGACGAACATAATTCAGTTGCTTGTTCATGTGCAGGTTGATCAAGTTGTTCACATGATGAAGAAGCAACATTAACAAGTATGTCAATTAAACAGCAACGCAGATCTCTTGCAGTCGTGACTTGGTCTCCTTGTCTTGAACTTGTACATGCAAACAGTATCAATATCGCGGCTTTGCAAGAAATATGGATGCGAACTTTTGATCCATTTTTGAAAAGGTATTCATCTTTTACAGCCAAACCTTAAGGGAAAAAAAGAAAGCTTAATAATAACTCACTAGTACTTAGATGAAGTTATGTAAACATGGAAAAAGTCCACTATTGCTTTTATAAAATGGAAAACAGAGTGACATCGCAACCATGTTAACAATATTATTTCCATCTAAATGCACCAAAATGATAGCACACATACTATCTTTAATCTTTTATAAAACCCTTATGTAGAAATAAACTACATTCTGATGGACATTTGAAATAAATAAAGAGTTTTCTGACATGATGTTTCCTTATATTATTAATGTAACTCAGTCTACAATACACCCAATGAGTAAATAATTATCTTTATGTAAACAGAAGTGAAACAGGTGAGCTTTCATGTGAAAACATGATATCTTTACATGTGAAGATATCACCAGTGCTATGGTTACAATGTATAATGAATCCCACCTTTCATAGCGTAAGAAAAAAAAAAGGTTGGGTATTTCACTGGTGTTTATCTATAAATAGCATATCACATGGTAGCTTGGAAATACAAAATTTCTCTTTGAGTGATGAAAAATATTTCACTCGCTGGCTGCACTCACTAGTTAAAATATTTTTTTAACACTCAAAGAGAAATGTTAATTATATCTCTGTGTGGCCATGTACTGTGTATATCCTCTATACAATTTAATTATAAATTTGAACTCTTAAGGTAGCCCCACTGTAGGCATTTGCCACATTTTTGAAATCAAAAGAGAAATGCCAGGGGGGAGGGGCATTAAGCAGACTTAGAATTGACAGAGCCATTACCTGGGGGACTCCGACATGCAACAGACAGGGATGCTCATTGGAAATCTTGAATAAGATCCCTAAAGGAGACCAATCGGGGCATGGTTCATACTTTTTTGTGACCTCTAGAGAAACCAAAATTACTAAAGATATAATTTATTTTTCTCTATTTCTTCATGTGAGAGACCTTGACGACTTAAAATATTGGGGTTTTGCCTGGAACACCCTAAGCAAGACCGAACATCCGAAATAACACCCCTAAGTGAGACAACGAGCATCCCCGTCTGTTTCATATGGGAGGCCCCCCTGGACAAGGTACTTGACTGAATTTTTGTAAACTGAAGTCACTTCAAGCTGTCCAGACAGCTGTAGCATTGCTATAAAATTCCCAAACGATGATCACCTTTGTAACTTTTTATATAGAAGTCTTCTTGCAATGTTTAATTTGTTTAAACAAACAATAACTATTATAGTGACAATTATTTGGGTAATGGATTTCAAGGACTATGACATGGAAAGTATCAACTCAGTGATATACCCTGATGGATATTTATGTTTTTTTTATTTTTTTTTTTTTATTTTTTTTTTTTTGCAAGAAGGGAGTATTTTGTTTAAAGTTAGCCAATTATTTCTCCCTGGAACTATGCCCTTTATAAAGTTTCTACGAGGAACAAATTGCAACAACAAACCTATTGAAATAACTATATGTGAACATGGCTTCTTTCTTGTCCCAAAAGAGGAAAACAGAATAATTTGAGAGGACAGGTCCATGGAACAACATGCCCAACCTTAAATTAATGTAAAAAAGACTAGATGTATTGTATAAGGACTGCTACCCATGCTCGATTCCTTCTTCCATGTGTCAACTACTCATTAAGATCAGGGTGAGCTTATGATCACAATGTTTATTGTTCTGATAAACAGTCGAGATGTTTGTCAGATTTCATATCCCTTCTCCATTGTCATTTTCAAGTCACTGTTTACACTTACATAACTAATCGAAAAACCGGCTTACCGTGTCTTTCTAGTAGAACATCAAGATCTTTGTATCCTCTTTGCTTTATGTGTACTTTAACTCCGAGCGAAAGAAGAAGGGATTCGTCGATTTCGAAGAAAGCTTTTGTATTTCGTAGCAATGTTGGCTTGAGGGTGTCAGGCCACGTTATTCGGTCTAGTGCGACACTCTGCATCATCAGACATCTGCTGATCGTTGTGAGCTTTATTCCTCGGCATGTTTATGGACCTTTTTGTGACGGCGATTTGTCATTTTTCACGGTTTAAAGATCAGGGTTGTAGGTTTGATCTTCGTGCGATCGCGGGTTTTTCCAAGTTTTTGTGACGAATGACGCGCGATACTCTATTGGTCAGTTCCATGTGGTTGACATGACAACCTTCACGTAACTCCAGCTTTGTCACGAAAGGCAAAGCGAATGCGGCGTACTTCGAGACAAGACAGATCGAGGACGAGAGGAGTTTATACATTTGACGCGTGCGGTTATTAAAATGTCTATAATGGTATTCGTCACTTAAAAGAGAAAGATTGGGAGAGATCTTGACGGAATAAGTTTCGGCATTTACCTGTCGAGATCATCGATAAATGAAAATAATTTTAAGCGCGGGCCGGCGCAGGGGTTTTGTCTTGAAACACCAGGGAAAAATTGATAAATACCAAGAAGGACTTAACCAGAAAAAAAACAAACAAACACGATAAACCAAGTTCAAGTTAGACAGTTTGTTTTTGTTTATTAATCTTGCATTGAGTTTGTGTCAAAAGATACCAGCGCTAGCGAGCGGCGTTTTCACTATTTAACATCTGTTGGTCAGAGCTTCATCCTTGAGATGATAATAGCTTGAATATATGAATACTTAACGACCTCGATTTTCGAGGTTCACAGATAAATCGCAGTGAAGATGTCATGTAGACTTGATCGCCTTGGAAAAGCACGTGCCGGTGTATGTGCTTACGTAAAATCTACTCTGAAGGTAAAAGTCCTGAAGGATCTCACGGAAATATCAGAATCCGGCCTACACCAGTTGTGGATTCAAGTTCAAAATAAGAAGCTTCGTTCATTGCTGGTTTGTATTGTTTACAGACCCCCGGAAATTGGAACTGCATGCCTAGAGAATGAACTGCTCCCAAAGTACATCGAAGCATTATTAAACTGTGACCTTCTTTCAAACAATCCGAGGGGAGAAGCATTGCTGTCGTTTTGTGCAACTGTAAATGCGACACAGCTTATAGACAAGCCAACTCTCGTGACTGAGAACTCACGCTCCTTATTGGATGTCATCTTGGTCTCTGGCCCTGTCCTTGTCAAGTCGAGCGGTGTTCTTGAAATAACTATAAGTGATCATTTTCTGGTTCATGCTGTTATTAACTTAAGATCACCCAAGCAAGCCCCAACGTACATCGTCACACGTAGTTTTCGGAATTATAAAGCCGATCAGTTTGCAAATGACATCGCGCACATCCCATGGGATACTATGAACCTGATAGACGAATCCGTTGATATCAGACTCGATGCATTTAATGACTTGCTGTTGGCGTGTCTAGACGACCATGCTCCGGTTAAAACAGTGGAAATACGACATAAACCAAACCCATTCATCACGGAGGACATAAGGGATTTGATGAAGGCGAGAGACCACCTTCACAAAAGAGCGAGAAGGACTGGGACGAGGGAAGATTGGGAGGTTTTTAAGGAGCTGCGAAATAGAGTCAAATTTGTTTTACGGAAGGCGAAACGAGAGCACTACAATAATCAAATCTGTGAAAATAAGAACAAGAGTGGGGCAATGTGGAAAACTATTCGCTGTGCCCTCCCAAATAAATCAGGCCGCCTAAGCTTTACCAAGGACACAGATGCACTCGCTAATGAATTCAATCGCTTCTTTATATCTGTGGGACAGAAGGCCGCCGATGACTCTGCGGAGCTCGCTCGCCTTCAGGGCCTACCAACTACTCCTGTTTATCTCGGTTCAACTCATTGTGATGAACTGTTTGACTTCAAAGCAATAACCAGTGAAGATGTGCGAAAAGTGATTATGGCTATGCCTTCTAATAAAGCTCCAGGCTATGACAGAATTCCAGTGTTTGTGATCAAGGACTGTTTACCGTATATATTACCAACTCTAACTGCATTGATAAACTCTTCTTTTAGCAACTCTGTTTTCCCTAAGGCCTGGAAGAAGTCGGAAGTAGTGCCACATCTTAAAGATGGTGATCACGAGATTCCTAGTAACAATCGCCCTATTTCATTATTGCCTGTACTTTCTAAAGTGACCGAAAAGATCGCCCTGAATCAGTTCACTGATTATTTGACTCAACAAGGTAACCTCACCTGTCATCAAAGCGGAAACCGTAAACACCATTCTACTGAAACACTGAGTTTGCTTGTCACCGGTCATACATATAAAGCGATGGATAAAAAGGAGATCACGGCTATGGTCCTAACCGACTTGAGCAAGGCTTTTGACAGCATATCTCATAGAACTCTCCTCACCAAGCTGAAAGGGCTCGGTGCGTCAAATGAAGCGTCAAAGTGGTTTTAGAGCTATCTTACAAACCGAAGGCAGTCAACACGACTCGGTACATCTCGCTCTAGTGAGTTAACTGTCACACATGGCGTACCACAGGGGTCCATTCTGGGGCCTCTTATGTTCAGCTTTTACATGAACGACCTACCGTCCGTTGTTAAGTTTTCAAGCGTAGAGTCATATGTTGATGACACAAAGGTTTATCTTTCGTGTTCATTGAATAATATTGACTCCTGCCTTGCAAAAGTCTCGGAAGATCTCCGACTTATTGCCTCCTGGTGCTGTACGAATAAGTTGCTTATTAATCCAGACAAAACTAAACTTATTCTTTTTGGAACGAAACAGCTTTTAAGTGGGGTTCCTGATATCAGAGTCCCCTTTCTTGGGCAACAATTAATTCCTGTGTCCTCAGTCAAAGACCTGGGTATAATATTGGACTCGAACCTTACTTTTAATGAACACTTTAACACCCTGACCTCGTCTCTTATTTCTACCCTATACCAGATAAGCAGAGCGAGGCACTTGTTTTCCAAGTCAGTACTTACCACCATTCTGAATTGTCTAGTTTTTTGTAAACTGTTTTATTGCTCGACATTTTGGTTTGGAACGTTTGCGCACAACATAAACAAATTGCAACTTATACAAAACTTTGCTGCCCGTGT